CCTAACTTTATAATTCTGGGCATTTCTATGCTATCTAATCTCTTCTAAACCTCTAAGGGTTGATGATTGTAGAAGGGAGGCAATAAAATGAAACGATGAAAAACCATGTTTTGGAATCACAAGTAACAGGGCTTAAATCCTAATTTGGAGCAAGTTCCAAATATCTGGAAGATTCAATTTTTGGTTGTCTCGTTTGAATTATGGGTATAATTCTCACCCTATCTCACCTGACCTTGTGTCTCTAACATTTGTGGTAAAGAGTAAATAAAATAATGTATATAAAGCAATCCATTATACCTAGGTAAGTAAAGGCTCAATTAAGAGTGGCTGTTTTAAAGGTGTACAGCTGATAATTAAAATAATTATTCCTTTACACTTCCTTTAATGTTTTCTATAGACATTATTTGTTGTGTAATGATACATGTTCACTTAAGTTTCTGATTAGTTTTTTTAAAGATTTATTTATTTATTTTTAGAGAGAGAGCAAAAGCAGAGGGGTAGAGAAGAGAATCCTAAACAGACCCTACGCTGAGCATGAGAACCCAACATGGGACTTGATCTCATGACCCTGATCATGACCTGAGCCGAAACAAAGAGTCAGATGGATAAACTGACTGACCAACTGGACCACCCAGGCAGCCCTGATTAGTTTTTTAAAATGCAAACGAAAAGTTGAAGTGTTGGAAGTCGGAGTCGTCTCTGGAAATAGCCTGACTCTTTGAGAGAAAGGATTTTTTAAGGCATTTAAACCTGGAGAGTTGAAAACAGACTTCAGAGTGGGAAAGAGTACATGACAACATAATACTTTTTGTTTCTGGCAAGAGAATTGAGTCATTCATTAGCTGGTGAGAGAGCTATTCAAGATGTGACAAGGCCCTGGGTGTTATCTGAGTCTCTGGGAAGATGCCCAGAACCCCAGTTTTCTGGTTGAGTTACAGAAGAATTAAGCAATAGAAATTTGAATGAGGTTAGGAAATCCAAGTATAGACAGAACTGTGACTTAATTCTCAAGGAAAGATAGTACCTTCAAGAAGCTTCATATTTAGTAGAACCCTAGAAAGATAGAGAAACCATGATGAGGAGAAGCGCCCCAGCAGATGGCCATGTGGAGCTCCCAGACTCCCAAAGGGGTACAGGAGAAAGACTGAAATGAACTCAAGAAGGGCACAGGGTGGTTTAAGTAGACTCTAAGCCCTAAATACCCTAGGGTTGGAACAATAAGGGTGCAGATGCACATACCTCTACCTGAGGTCCTGGTCATGCATGAGACGATGGCAGTGGATCTCAGCGCCCAATGATGAACAAGACAAGTTGTAACTCCATGAGGGTATGCCTGGTCACAGGCCATCTGCGAACTGGATGCCTCTCCTCCCTAATACTTAAGGCTCCCTTTCAAGAGAGAAAGGAGAGTGGTATTGGTGTTTGTGTTTTAGTTGCCTCATATTCACCCTATTGGTGAAGGAGAGATTCCCACCTGAGGATTGTGGGGATGGTAAACACATGACACCTGACACTGGACAGAGGAGATTGTATGAAATCAGGAGAAGTTTATTAGTCACATATATTCACAGCTTTGGGTAGGCAGACACTGTTCAGGACTACCTAGGGCATGCACTTGGGAACAGAGTGAACAACAGGGCTGTGGGAGGCAGGCTCTGTAGTAGTAAGAAAGTGGGGTTCCAGTGCACCTGGGTAGCTCAGTTGATTGAGTGGCCTTTGGCTCAGTCATGTCAGGAAACTGAAATCTGCTACTCAGGGATGAGAGAAATTAGGCCTGGTCCCTTTGATAGAGGGAGGGTTGTTTGGCAAAGGGGCCTTATCTACAAGGGCTGTGTGGGGAGGGAACTTGTGGTTAGGCCATGTGTGGTCTATTTTATCACATGGCAAAGCAGAAATCTGTGTGGCATTATTGTAAAAAGTGGATATCCTCAGGGGTCGGCAGGCATGAATTTTTTACTTTGTGACTTAAATAGTACTTTGAGGAGCCCATTCAGCCTCTCAGTTAAACTTGCTGCCTGGGGCTGGCTGCCTGGGTCCTATAGAGGAGCTGAAAGTTTGAATGCTTTCTTCAAGATCCCAGTATTATGTATTCTGACAAGTGAAATGAGTGCTTTGGTCACTATTAGTGTACTTAGAACTCCAAAGGGGATAAGGGGTATCCTCGTGAAGTTTTGTATTGTAGTCGTGGTAGGTGTAGAGAAATCTGTTACCTTGATTTTTATTTTAGGTATCTGTGAAGAGATTCCCAGAGTTCTTTACAAAAAAGGAGGCAACTCTTAGTCAATGTACAAAAATGTACAGATGGGGCCAGTTGTTATTGCCTAAGGTGTACCAATCATCCTGACCCTTGGGTTTTCCCCTTTATCAGGGACATTCTGGTTAAGGGATGAAAACAGCAGCTCTCCACTGATGTATGATGGTGGTGATATCATCAGTAAAATGTATGAACTCCCACTGCTGGTGATTCATTTGATTCTAATGGGCTTGCCAAGTAGCTTAGGGCTCTGGGAAAGACATGGCCTCCATCAACATTGTGGCATCTGTCGAGAGACTGAAGACAGGACACCCCTTCTGCAGGTGGATTATATCAGAGGGTCCAGGTTTGACTTTATCCAGTAGCAAGGAAGGCTCAGAAGTTATGCTGAGCTTTTGGGGTGCTGCTTTAATGACTCAAGGCTTAATGGCTAGCCAGGTACCAGGGGTCACAGGCTCAAAGTTTATGAGAGCTTTATTTCCAGAAGAAAACACTATATGGCCAATAATTGCCATTTTAATGGTATATAGTGCCAAGCCAGGAAAGGCACTTTCTTGTATCAGAAGCCCATGGGCAACTTATGGCCATCATAGGTGGTCCAGAAACTCTAGGAGCCATGAAAGATAGTTACTGAAGCCTCTCTGGTGAAGAGGTTTCTGAGGGCACAAACTGGAGTGCCTGTTGATTTCAATTTGGACAGATTTTTAGAGACTTTTATTGGTGGGATCCCCTTTCAAGGTGGGCTAATTTTTAAATAACAACTTTAGTGACATTAAGTAAAATTTGTTATTGAAGAATATGTTACCCCCAGAACCCAAAAGGGACTAAAGATGGTGAAATTGTCTTAACCATGTGAGTGCTGAGAAGGTCAATACCTGTTTCTTTTTTTTTCTTTTTAAGATTTTATTTATTTATTTACAGAGCATAAGAGTGGGGAGGTGCAGAGATAGAGGGAGAGAGAGAATCCCAAGCAGACACCTCGCTAAACATGGAGCCCAGTGCTGATTGGATGGAGTCAGCAATTTCAGTAATTTAGGTTGTTGGCTGTAGGACCTTAATGGGATGGCATGTGGCATTACAGTTGCAGCAATCAACTATAGGCCACCATTCATTTGTTCCAGATTTAAGGAACAAGTCAAATAAGGCTCTTAAATGGAATACCAGTGGAATCAGGAAAGGATTCACTCATTACCTGTTAAATAGCAAGTTTTTAATCCTTGAGGACCTTGTTTTAAATTACATTGAGTCATGTTAACTATTTAATGGGGTTGGGGGAGTAGGGAGTGAGGGATGGGTCATGAGTTCTTATTTTGTTAAGCCAGTAATTTTCACCTATTTTTTAATTGGGTCAGAATATCCATGCTCACTATGGGATATTTTAGGGCAATGAGTGCTAAAACCATAGGGAATGTAAGCTAGACAGAACTTCTTATAGTTAAGGAAAGTCATACCTCTTTGTGTTCTACCTTATATTCAGTAACTCCCTCATGGTAGGGAATACCATGTTTACTTTTAGTGGGAGTCAAGGTATAACTGTAATTTTAACCTTAGTATTTGTTAAGATCAATTGATGAATTTCTGCAGATAGTAAAATTAATTCAGGGGTGCCTTGGTGGCTCAGTCAGTTAAGCATCCAACTCTTGGTTTCAGTTAAGGTCATGGGATTGAACCCCATGTTGGGCTCCAGGCAGAGCAGGAGGTCTGCTCAGAGATTCTCTCCTTCTGCCCCTCCCTCACTTCTCTCTCTTTCTCTCTCTTAAATAAATAAAATCTTTAGAAAATTAACTCAGAATCTATATTATAAAGGCACACAAATCAGTGTCCTTTTATCTTTTGCTATATAAATGTTTCTAGTAAATTTTGGATTTCCAGTGAGGTCAAATTATGAACCTTTGTTTTAAGTTGTTTCTTGTTGGTTTTCTCTCCTTGTATTCTGCATTCTTTCTTTCTTTTCTTTTTTTAATTTATCTTATTATTATTGTTCGGTCACTGGATATAGGTGAGGAATGAGGGTGATGTGGGGAATGGTGCTCTCTACTCCTATCATACTTATAAGTTTCTTCCCCCAGAGAACCTCAAATCAGTATCATCAGGGTTGGGGACATCCCCAATAGCAGTAGTTGGTTTATAAACCGTGGGCTTAAATTCAGTTTGAATGAACCCCTTCATGATGCCACATGGGTGCCGTGGGTGTTTTGTGGAGGATTAGGATCTTTGTTACAACTGAAACATGGGGAACAGAGTGGTGAAGGGTAAGAGTTGTGGGTCTACTACCAGGCTTGTTGGATCAAAACCCTCCTCTGCTGTGGCCCCACCTCCTTTGTCATGTGGAATTCTTTCTTTCTTTTTTTCCTCTGTTCAAATTCCACAAATATGAAATATTTTAGGTTTTTAGCCATGTAAAGTTGCAGCTTTCAGTTTCTGTCTGCACAATCACCTATAGTGCATACCTTCGGGGTATTTATGGGGAAAGTTCCAGGAGCTTGGTAGCCTCCTTTGTCGGGGGTTGCCTCTTTGTCCAGGGAATTCCAGTCTTCCTGGAATCAAGGTCCATATCCAGTAAACTCATTTTGTGTATGGCTTGGATGGAGACCATAAGGCCAATGATTGCAAGATTAGCCCCTTGGTGTGTTGGTAGACAGGAATACTGAGCAAAACCTAGGTACACTGGCTACAAGTTTTGTTTTGGGAGAAGAGTTGAGTACCAATGTTCCTTCCCCTCCCTACCTTTTTTTTTTTTCACCAGCCCCTGGGCTACAGGCCAAGATGGATGTGCACCTCAATACTCCTGAGGGTCAGGAGAGCGCAAGCAACAGTGGCAAGGGGAGCAGCCGCACAGGAAACCAGCAAGGTCACTACCCTTGCATGAACAACTGGGATGTCATGCTTAATTCTCTATGGGGTGGTGATCTCCTTTCTTTCCACAAATCTCACAAAAGGCTATCTGTGGGCCTGGCCCAGAGGTGCACAATTACAATGTCTGTATAGCTTCCCAAGCAGCTGATGATAGTCCCCAGGCCAGACAGTGACTTAGGCTGATCCTTGGTAAGCAAAGATGACCTGCCAAACAGACTAAACCTGACATCACCAGGTTATAGCAGGATGCAGTGAAATAGCAATTCTCATCTTGGGGACAAGAGAGTTTTAGGGTGGAAAGTGATGGCAACGCCTAGCAAAGACAACAGAATACCTCACAGGACATAGCCCAAATCTGCCGGCAATTAGCTATTCCTTCCCAGGCAGTGTTACCATATCACAGAGTCAGTTTAGTTAATCAAGAGCAGTTAATTGAGGTTGACCAGGTGTCCTCAGTCATGGTGGAGCATGTCATGTGGTTTGGAACACAGTGGTTTCTTAATCGCCCCGTTGGTAAGGGAGAGATCCCTGCCCTGTGGATATGGGAATAGCTAGACATTGAGCACTTGCCACTGAACAGATGAGATTGACAGCAAATTTTTAGTCACATGTATTTATAGCTCAGGGAGAAGGATACTGAAGGCCACTCAGGGCTTCACAGGGATTGTACTTAGACACAGAGTAACCAACCGAGGACGATAGGAGGCAGACTTTGTAGTAATATGAGTGTGTGATGCCTCCTGGTTCTTACAAGATGATATGATTGGTTTGTTTGAATATTCCACAGGCTTGCAAAAGGATAAATAGGAACTGTGCCTGGTCCCTCTGATTGTTTGGATAGCATACCTTATCCTTGAGAACAGAGTGGGGAGGGAAACTTTTATATTTAGGCCATTTGAAGCCCTCCCAGTTTTACCATATGTCAAGGCAGCATATAATATTGAGCCTTAATTTTAGGCTTTACACCACATGGAGAAATGAATTCTGTGTATGATTGTGAATTGGTTGGAAATTTACCCCAGAGAGAATAAGTTTTAATGTGGAAATGAATGGTTACACTTGAAATCACAAGATTGTTTCTCTGAAGGAAAAACAGGGATCTGTGGATTAAAATCAGTTCTGTTAAAGAATAATGCATTTATATCATTGCACATCTGTTTTTTGACTGAATAAAATGAGTATCTTGCTATTACTTGGATAAAAAAATTATTGAGGAACACCTGGCTGGCACAGTTGGTAGAGAATTCAACTCTTGATCATAGGGTTATAAGTTTGAGCCCCATGTTGGATATAGAGATCACTTAAAATATAAAAACAAAATAAAACCCCTTTGTCTACCACTATACCATCAAACAAGACAGTGAGCATTATTTAAAAAAAATATTGAAACTGAACTAGAACTCCCTTTTATAAAATAATGGAAAACTTAATGTCCTTTAGAAAGCCCTAGTACACAATGCTCTACAATGTAGGATATATTAAAAAACAATTTTTTAAGATTTTACTTATTTATTTATTTAGAGCATGCACACATGCTTGGGGGAGGGACAGAGGGAGAGGGAGAGAGAGAATCTTAAGCAAACTCCATGCCCATCATGGATCCCTATGCAGGGCTTTTGCTTATGACCCTGAGATCATGACTGAACAAAAATCAAGAATTAGACACCTAACTGACTGAGCCACAAAGGTGCCCCCTCTTCAAAACTTTAAAATGGATGCTCATGTTGATAAGATTATTCATCATAATCCCAGAACAATGAAAAATCCCAAATCTAGAGGCATGTGAATGGTGTACTCAGTTCCCTGAGTTCCCCAGTAATTCACAATTTCTGTTTTAAAAAGCCATGCTCTGGGAACAAGGAAAGAAACTTAAGAACCACTCAAGTTGGGAAATCAAATTGAGTCCCTGGTATAAGGCTTAGGCTATTGAAGAGTGACATATTCAGTCCAGCGACAATGTGGCAAAACCCTAAACTTCAAAGGAAAACAGTATGGATACTTGCCAGTCTTGTCCTTGACTTGTGTGGAAAAGGAGGGAAAATTGTCCTGATCACTTATGACAAGGGGTTGCAGGTTTGCAACTTCGTAGTGTGAAAAATTTCATTTTGAGAATTTAAGGCTAACCAATTTCGTAGTGCTACCAGACCCCAGTAGAGGCAAATTCAGAGCCTGTATAAAGGAAAACACTTTAATTAGTGTCTCAGGTAATTTCAAGGAAAAAGTTTTTAAAAAATGTAAGTTTACAACCACAAATCATTAAACATGCAAGGAAATAAGCTACAATGAGATAGATTATACAGTTTATAGATTATACAACATAATTACAGTTTAGATTATACAGTTTACAGATTATACAACATAATCACAATATAAAGAATTTAGATATTAGGATTATTCATAAAAATTTTTTAAAAAGACAATATATTTGAAAAGATAAATGAAGGTATGTAAGTTATGTGTGAATAAAGAACAAAATATAATACAGTGAGGCAGACTTAAAAAAGAGCAAAACAGATTGTCTATAAATGGAAAATATAGATTAAAATTTGATGTGTAGTTTATGTAGCAGATTAGACACAGATGAAGTGATAACTAGTGAATGGGAAGATAGGTCGGAAAACATTATACAGAATATAGCACAGAGAAACGAAAGAAAGGGAAACTATGAAAGATTGAGAGATACGGTTAATAGACTGTCTATCTCATGTGTCTAACTGGAATTCCCAAGGAAATAATAAAGGATTAAAGTGGTATTCAAATAAATACCACCTGAGAATTTTCCAGAATCGATGAAAGTCTTTAAATTCAGGAATACTAACAAATCTTAAGAAGGATTAAAAAAAAAAAAAAGGGTTCTTAGGCACCTTGTATGACATTTCAGGACATCAAAGAGATAAATCCTCAAAATAAGCCAGAAAAATAGACTCCACAAACTACCAAAAATGGTATATCAATTATACCATCAGTGTATTAGTCAGGGTTCTCTAGAAAAACAGAATCAATCAGGTATATATTTATTATAAAGAATTGGCTCATGCTACTATGGAGATTGAGAAATTCCAAAGTCTATAGTCAGCAAGCTAGACACCCAGGAGAGACAATGGTATTATTCCCTTCCAAGTCTGAGGGCCTGAAAAACAGAAGAGTGATGGTTTAAGTTTCAGTCCCAGGCTAAGTGTAAAGACAGCAGAGAGACTGATGCCCTAGCTGGGGCCTGAGACAGGCAGAGAGAGAAAATTCTTCCTTACTTAGTCTTTTATTATATTGAGGAATTCAGTGGATTGGATGATGACCATCCACATTGGAGAAGACAATCTTCTTTACTCAGTCCACTGACCCAAATGTTAATTCCAGAAACACCCTCACAGACATACCCAGAACATTGTTTGAACAAACACTAGGAACACTATGGCTGAGCCAAGTTGCCACATAAAATTATCGTATTCAACAACTTCTTAACAACAAAAATGGAATAAAGTATGTTAATATTGCGAAGTGCCTGGAGAAGGTAACTTCAACCTAGAATAGTGCACGAAGATGAGGATAAAATAGATCTTTTCAGACATAACAAAACCATTGGTTTCCCCAAAGGAATTTCTAAAAGCTATACTTTAAGGGAAAGGGGGAATTATCTCAGAATTGCAATGTATATATAAAAAAATGTCATGGAAATACAATGGTAATATGGATATAAAGAAGACAGTAGTTCTTAAATAATGCTGAAATATTTGATGTGAGTGTCATATCAGAAGCTTCCTTTCAAATGACTGACAAAAATTGTGTGTATGTTTACAGAGAAAGGGTAAATATAGCTGTTAACAATTCTTGAAATCAAATGGAGGTTACACACTGTTCTTTCAACTTACCTATATGACAGTATTTAAATACAAAATTCAAGGGAAGACACCATAATTTGAAGTCACTTATTTAATAATCCTAGAATTTGTCACAAATTATTATAAGCTCCATCTGTTTTTTCCATGATGAACAATCTTCCCATCAATGTCAATGTCAATGTTTCCTCTCTGTGAATCCTCCAAGATCACCAGCAGTAGTTCAGTGACCACATCACTAGCTTTGCTTTTTTCAGCAATCAAGGACCCATATGTATATGTGTCTATTTCTGGAATCTCTATTTTATTCTATTATGCTGTTTATTCTTGAAGAATGCCACTCTATCTTAATACCTAATATTTGTAATGAATCTTTATATCTGATGATCTAAGTCCTTAAACTTTATAATTAGTCTTCATTGTAAGTCCTTCTACCTTTTTCCTTCCTTTTTAAATAAGAAGTTATTCTTGGGTATGTTGCATTTACATATAAATTTTATAATCAGAACATCACTCATGCGGTGGATTTGCTTACAGAACTTCCATTTTTAATAACCTTTGAACAATACTCCTTGACAGTAGTCTCTACTTACACATAGTGCATCTTATGCATATTTTTATTATGTGACTTAGAAATGTTCATGGTTCCTCAGTGCTCAGAGGGACAAACACAATCTCCTCTTTTTTTTTTTAAGATTTATTTATTATTTTGAGGGAGAGAGAGAGCTTGTATATGTAAGCAGTGGTTAGGGGTAGGGGCAGAAGGAGAGGGAGAGAGAGAAGAGAGAAAAGCAGACTCCCTGCTGAGCATGGAGCCTAACACAGGGCTTGAACTCACGACCCTGAGATCACAACCTGAGCTGAAATCAAGAGTGAGGAATATACTTAACCAACTTAGACACCCAGGTGCCCCCACAATTTCCTTTTAAATGGCATTCATTTTCTTTGCAATCTGGGTTCCAGTGATGACTGCGCTCCAACTTATTTTTCCAACTCTATATGGCTTAACACTCCATCAGAGCTAGATGTTTCCTTTTCCTTTACTTAGAAGTTGCTTTGTACACTCACTTCTTCATGAGTTAGCTTAAATTATTTCCCTGGCTTGGTAAGTCTTTCATGTTTTTGTTTTTTTTTTTTTTAATCTGTATGAACCCCTCCCAGA